CGGGGGCAGCGCCGGCGGCCGGGGAGGCCGGCCCGGCCTTCTCTCGGTGCGGGCGCTGCCTGGCCCGGAGCCCCGGCCCCGCGGCGCCCCGAGCCCGCAGCCCGCGCCCTCCGCGACAGAGGTGGTGCTGAGGGGCTGGCCCGTGTTATTGTTAGTGAGTTGGGTCCCTTCCTTTATTTTTTACCGATGCCGTTACATAAAGGGTCATTTTGGGAGCTGTCTTTGTCTTTACTGACCATCGCCCCACAAAGAAAGGTGCCAAGCAGGTGGCGGCTCTCCTGCTGCGCAAACCTCGGGAGTCAGAGGCTGTTTGAGCCCGGTTCCTCTCCCAGGCTCGCCCTGGCCCTGTGCGGTCCCTGCCGTGTCCCCAGGGCCCTGCCTTGGCGCACGGGAGCAGCGGTGGTCGCAGCCGCTGCTGAAGGGCAGAACGTGGCCTGCCCCAGCCCTGTGCCGCTGTACCTCCTGCGAGGCAGCCCAGGGCCAGCCCGGGCTCTGCGGGATTGCCCCGGCGTGTGCCTCACCCAGCCATTCATCTCTGCGGCCGGTGCGCTGCTGTGACCTGGGGACAGTGGCCCCAGTGGGCGGCATTGCATCATGCTCAGCCAGGGTGTCACACCGCTGGTGCTACTCACAGCCACCCCTCCCGTGCCACAGCTCTGCGTCACCTCCCTGTCCCTTGGCTTTACCACGGTTCATTCCTGGCGTCGCCAGCTGGTTTGTCAGCTTTACCATAGCACCGTGCTTCTCTCCCCACAATAGCTCGTAAGCAGCACAATCACCTCGGCTGTACGTGCAAACCCTCCTTGTTCTCCACCTGATGGTTCGCTCATATGTCTTTTGCTGGCAATGGGAAACAAACCAGTTAATACTTCAAAATCTTGTGTTTTCCTTGATTTTGCAGCCCTTCTTTCAGCAGGAGTGTTTCACAGCATCCTTTTGAGTGTTTCAATAACACCAGGGACATTGTGGGTACAGCCACTAGCTCATAAATAATTTACACACATTTCTTCAAGCCATAGCTGCCCTTGTAGATATGATACTCATAACAATGCTTTGGCCTCTTGTAGAGGACAAAGAGAAATCCCAGGGGCTTCTCTAGGGGGAACTCAGGGGGTTCTGTCAAGGATCAGAGTGGATGTACACAAGGAAGGAAAATGGCAGTGCATTAGGTGCATGAGTAATTCCTGCATCCTGGGCAGAGCACGGGTGGAGTTCAGTCCTGTGTCCAGATTAACATTCCTACAACTCCTGAAATGTGCTGTGGACTTGTTTTGGTCTTTAAAACATTCCAATTGCCTGCAAAGTGGCAAGGTGAATTTGGTGGTTGCGTCTTCACTTGACATAATTTAGAATGGCTGACAATTTGGACAATCAAAGCACTGTATAACTTCTGGAGCACGGAAGTTTGTCTTTGGCATTACCTTTCAGTACTTTGTATGGTCAGCCTTACTTTTATTTGTAAAAGAGAGATAAGGATAATTGTTATCTGGGGGGAAAAGAAGTGAATGGACAAGTAAATGAAAATGTAAATTTGGTGACTGGCTAAAACCACCTCTGTTAGCAAAACAGGATATAATGTCAGGAAACAACCAACAAAATACTTCCAGTGTAAACAATCCAAGCAGTGCTGAGCACTATCTTACCCTCTGATGTGCCTCTCCCTCATCAGAAGAGGCATGTCTCTACTTTCTCCCTTCTTTTGTCCCTGGGAAATTTAAAAATACCCCAAGACACAGCAACATCTGTTCTGTGAATCTTCAGGGAAAATACAGGAAGACTCACAAGTGAAATCGGAGTGCAAGAACTTAAGGGGGGTGCGGGGGGGGGGAAGTGGAAAGAGAAAAAAAAGGCAAAACATGTTTTACTGTACCCATTGCCTGTATGTAGGGAGCATTTACGGTTTCATTCCTAGGAAAATTGGATGAACCTCTGTAATTTCAGTCTAACCAAGACTTTTCAGAGCACCAGGAACAGTGCGGATGGGTTGGAGCTGCCAAGCAGTCTTTAACAGCTGTGTAAGGAGCAGATGCAGTTGGAGGCTGGGAGGGAGGGCAGAGTGCCTTCAGCATCACCCTGCTCCTCCCACACCTCGGTGCACCAGGCAGGGCAAACAGCAGTGGAGAAGCCTCCGCTGCCAAGTGTAACACACAGAGGTGGCGTGTCAGCGCTGCTGGAACTCGGGGCAGGCTCACACGGTACACACCACAGCAAGAGGGTCTCTCGTGAAGAGCCAGAGCTATAAAAGCACTGACTTCAATGTGCAAACTCCACGTTCTGGATGGCCTACCAGGAATTCCACAAGCATTCCAAAGGCAGAAAGATCAATAATACAACACAAGCATTTTGACATGCACGTGCACTTCTTGTAGCCCTGCCACAAAGAACTGACAATATTTCAGATGTCCAAGGTGTCTTCACTCACCAGGTAGTTATGGATAGTAAACAGCTTTTGTCATTAAAGTTGCCATATATTTTTTTAAAATATGTGTTATTGGAGGAACCACCATATTTTGTCAGAGGTGTTGAATGGTAGTCTGGAAGAATGAGCAGGTGAAGGACCCTGGATGATTTCTCAGAAAACCCTGAGAGGCTATTAGGTTTGTGTTCCCAGAAGCACAGAATGATTTGGGTTGGAAGGGACCTTACAGACCATCTAGCTCCAGCCCCACTGCCATAGGCAGAAACACCTGCGTGACCAGGTTGCTCAAAGCCCTATCCAGCCTGGCCTTGATGAATGGTAGTTGGAAAAGTTGGGCAGGTAAAGGACTCCAGGTGAGTTCTCAGAAAACCCTGAGAGGATATTACCTATGTTTTCATTTCAAAGAATATTATACAATGTCCTACTTAAATTTCAATGAAAGTGAAATTCTTGTGTGTAACTCAGTGGATCAAACTTCAGACTATTCAATATAAATAGGAAAAGGTAAAGGCCCTCGTACTTGCATTAAAAGTTTCACTCCTGAGAGGGTTGTTCTTAAATGTTTACTATCATGACTGCTCAGTTTCTCTCCTCATACTTTATGATGAAAAATTAAATGCAAAAGTCTGGTTTGACATTGATTTCAAGCCTTTACTGTATGCATCTATCCAGGTGGAATGCTTGTGTTTGAATCATGTTAATATTAGCTAGCTTTCCCTGGGGATTCCACATAGCTACAAATGTTTTACACGTCACATGTAATGGTAAAGTTCTGCCTGTAAAAATGTCCATGGGCACTGACTTAAGTCACAGCTGATGACTTAATGTGGGGCCAGAAGTTCATTTGCTTTACACTGTTTTGTTGGCATACTCTAAGTGTACATGAGTGTGATGTAATGACACTGTATCTGTGTAATGTGGTCACGGTAAAACACCTCACAGCTTGCCAGCAGCAATGCTTGGCATTTCCTAAGAGCTGAGTATTCTGGTTTAGCACTTAGATACTCCCCAAAAATTATTTTATAGTTTTACACTCAGTTTCTGATAAAAACTGAAGTCACTGGTTATAGAACAGTTTTGGACTTACCAATGCAGAGTTTGCAAATGTGGCTACTGAAGCTGCCAGCACAATTTATCTATTATTTGTCTGGATAAAGAATAGCTTGTTCATATGTTTGCAAAAGAACCTTTCTAATTTGGCTCAAGGTTGAGCAGCTTATGTTCAGAGAAAGAACAAGAAAATTTGCTGGGATTTTAGCAGTAGTAGATGACGTTCCTTCCAGGATCAATCTTTGGTTTCTTTCCAAGCAGGCTTACTCTAGATAAGCACCATTCATTTCCTTATCATGTAAATTATTTACTGGAAATAAATGTGCAAGTCTTATTTTATCTGCTCCCTTTTACTTAATGTAATTTGCACATACATAATTCTCGAATTTTGACAGTAGTGAAATGATCCTTTTTTTTTTTTCCTATTGCTGGCAGAGTTTACATAAACATCTATTTTGACTATGCCTGAATATTTTTTAATAACTTTTCCACAGGCCTTCTGTATTTCAACCGCTTCATACAAGTTACAAAAAAATTTAGACATTATGTTTTAAAGTAAGAGATCCTATTTAAAGTCTTCCTGTTACATTTCAATTCATGAGTAGTTTTTTCTTGGACAACATGTTAGTTTAGGAAGATCAATGGTTTTGCATTTTCACCCCTAGCAATGTGTGACTGGTTTCTGAGGCTGTTTTTTGACTAAGTCTCTTGGACTGGCCCCATTTTTCAATTTCCTCTCCTTAAAGGATAATTCAATTAAGCAAATAGATTATTTTGAATTGTGGGTAGCTCCAGAGAATAAACCTTGCATAAATAATAGCATGAAAGGAGGTAAGGGGAATCCCTGACTTGTGAACTTGCAATCCTTCAGAAGTCCACTGCTTTTTGTTTTACTTTTGTGAGTGAATTCATTCTATAAACTCAAATGGTGAGGACAGGAAAATGAGATTACAGTACCCCAGGGTAGCTGGACGATATTCCTGGAGCCAGTGTTTTAAGACAGATGGATTCCATTCCTGGTGGAACACGCCCCATGTCTCTGGGGAAAGAATTTTCTTTTGTTTCTGCCAGAAGCTTTTATTTGGCAAAGATATCATGGGCCCACTCTCATGCATATTTAAAAGGAGAATGGGCCCCACCGGTTTAGATACATCATCTGGAGGACAGGGAGGAGCTCTAGTGCAGGAAAGAGA